GGAGCCGGCCGTGATGTCACGGCCGGCTCCGCCCAGTTTGTATTCATTGGCCGGGACCTGCTAGAAGACTCTAGCAGGTGGTGGCCAATAGGAAACAAATAAATCTTTATTTTTTAATTGTACAATTTATTTACATTTTTTAAAATATTTTTTCAACCTTTTTTTACAATTATTTTTAACTCTTTTCATTGATTTTTCTATTCTGCTCCGTACCGCGGAGGTACCCAGCAGAATAGCTGAACCGAATGCCACTCGGCGGCCTTCGGCTATTCACTCACTGCCGTTCGGCCGCTATAAGAATAGGGGCAATCGGCAGCAAGCGAGCTGCCGGAGCTTCGACTCAGTCGATCCAGATGTTGGATCAGATAAGTCGAACTCCTTCTGCACAGCATGTTTGGCTGAACAAAGTGCAGCCGAAGGCAACTGATGTACGGCTGATTTCAGCCCATGTACAGCTGAAATCAGTCTTACTAAAGGTGGCCATACACTCTACAACCATCGTAAGACTTTAGTCTTGCGATGGTTGTAAAGGGATTAAAAAAACGTACAATCTGCCTATCTTGGACAGGCAGATCGCACTCTCGATCATCGCAAGCCCGCCCTCCTGAGGGGCCGGCTTCCGATGACCGCAATGCTGAACGGGCAGTGTGCGCGTGCGCACACCGGCCCGTTCAGCATTTATCTTCCGAGCACCGTTCTAACCAGCCGAGAATCGTACGATTCCCGGCTGGTTTTCGAACATGCTGGTTCGACAGAAGACGTGCGACCGTACAGTAGAAACGGTTGCACGTCTCCGTTCACACTGCTCGATTATCGTACGAAAACCCGATCGCATACGATTATCATACGATAATCGTGCAGTGTATGGGCACCTTAAGCCAGAGGGAATAGCCGAACATTGTTCGGCTCACTTTACTTCAGCTGGGTTATTCACTCGGCTGCCTTTGGCAGCTTTGTGACTAACCCCCTAAGTGTGCAGTGATTATTCTCATTCACCTGCTGTGTTGAGTGTTCTCCAGTAGAGTGCGCTAGAGATAATGCTTAGCGCGAGCAGAAAAAAATTGCCGTCTGGAGACGGCAACCCGCAGATACAGCAGTGCCGTCCGTCCGTTTTTTTACTACGGGTGGACGGCAAGAGGTTAAGGATGTTTAATACCTGGCCAATCAGTGGGTCTGGGGAGCCTGATGTGCATGCTGAGAGAAATATTCACAGGGTTATTCACTAAGCTGCCAGAGGCAGCCGATTGAATAACCGAGCCGTAGTGAAGTGAGCTGAACAACGTTTGGCTATTCACTACGGCTCAGTACGGCTGATTTGAGCCATACATCGGCTGAAATCAGCCATACATCGGCTGCACTTCGGTCAGCCGAACATGCTTTGCATGTTCGGCTGAGCCGAAGTGCAGAAGGATTTCGACCTCCGTGGTAAAGAGCCGGATAGAAAATAGTGAAAAAAGTTGAAAAAAATGTTTAAAAATGTAAATAAATAATACATTAAAAAAAATAAAGATTTAAAAAAACAATTGGGCAGAGCTAGCAGTGACAGCTAGATCTGCCCAACTGTTTCCTATTGGCCGGGACCTGCTAGAGTCTTCTAGTAAGTCCCGGCTAATAAATAACAACTGGATGGAGCCGGCCGAGTTTTTATTGTTTAATGACAGATAAGCGCCCCCAGGTCATTTGGGGACGCTGATCTGTCATTACAACTGGCCGGAGCCAGCCGGGAGATCACAGCTGGCTCCGCCCAACTGTCATTTGCAAGGCGTACGGCCTGCCTCGGCTTTCACTTCGGCTCAGTCGAGCTGAAGCTTATGCCTTCGGCTCGGCTGAGCCACTCGGCCGCCTTTGGGAGCTGTACGGGCTATAGTGAATAGCCCGTACAGCAGCCCCTTGGTTCAACTGAACCGAAGGGCTCACCGCAACTGAAGCTAGCCGAAGGATTAGCTGAAGCTTCGGCTGATCCTACGGCTAGCTTTGTGAATAGACCCCTACATTTCTGAGGCACTTCCTGGCACAGTGTCTTCACTCAGGGGTTTTCACCCTGAGAGGATGCATCAGTGAACAACCAATCTAGGCCCCAGGCCTGAAATCCTAGGGGCTAGATTGCTGTGGGGATCTCCTGTCATGGGAGGTGTCCCTAAGATACTAGCTGCGTTGGAGTGCTTCTAGGCCTTGAGGAAGCAAAGCTGCAGTTGTCCCCCACAGGGATGGTGAGTGACTGACTGAGCTGGGAAGCACCACTTGAACCTTCCCACTGCTGTCCTGCCTTGATATTAAAGACTGAGCATGCACAGGAACCTCAGTTGTACAGGGACCCATTTATATAGAGATGTATTCCAGCCAGTAGAGTTCTGTGAAAGAAAGATCTAGATAGCTAGAAGACCATGCAGAAGACCAAAGACTGTAATTCAATGTAATTCTTCAGGTATCCTGTGCTCCCTTCATCCTCTTTCCCTATTCTTCATGCATGAGCTATTAAATTACCATACATCCAAGGACAGTAACTTTACCCTGAGAGGAATGTGCCCGAGACACTTATCACCAAGTAAGTCAGAGAAGCCATATGTGCCAAAACTGGTTACCAATAGCACTACGTATAATAAGGTATTTACTATAATTGTTCCTCTGAAAAAGTTAATAAAACTAATTTATGAAGTTGTATAGCGTTTGAAATCTGGGACATTTCCAAACACTGCAACTGTCCCTGAAACTAATGTAGAGCCTGAAACTGCCAATACTAACTGCCACATGCTTATAACATAACAGGTATATCAGGTATTATCTGACCAGACATATGACTTTGGTGACAACCGGTATCTGCAGAACCGATTAGAGAGGATTGAGCTGGATTACAATGTTGTGGAATCCAAAGTTTTGTCATTAATATGTTCTATATCAGTGCTCCCCAACCTTTTTATCGCCGCGGACCGAAGCAAGCCAGCCCGAGACAACGAGCGGTGTGTCAGGGGGAGAGAGGACGGCTGGAGGCGGGCGGGCACAGAGAGCAGAGAAGGCTGTGATAGGCGGTTGCCAGAAGATGGATGCTGCAGGCAGGGCTTCTGACACACACGCCTCCTGTGACTCACCTCCCCTCCCGCCGCCTGTTACTATAGACGCGGCCGGGAGGGGAGGTGAGTCACAGGACCCGCCCCCTCACTGTGAAGCCCGTCGGCAGTGCGGGGCCCTGGTGTTCGATCACCGGGACCGTGCACTGCCATATATTGCATGACCGGACCGTAGCCCGGTACCATTTGATCCACGGACCGGTACCGGTCCGTGGCCCGGGGGTTGGGGACCACTGTTCTATATGACATCTATATGAAGTCTAATTTCTCAAACACAGGTACACAAATAGAAGTAGGAAACCAAAGCTGCACAAAATCAGGACAACCATACAGAAAGCTTACTGGTCTAAAGGGAACCCCAGGATGCAGTATCTGGGATAATAAGTAATCTCCAGACCAGACCAGATTGTTTCCGGACCCAAAATGCATCCTACTGTATCCCTATGCTATTTCTGGCCTCCGTTCAAATCAGTGCAGTTCGTTCCAGACCACACCAGAAAAATACTGCTTGTCCTATTTTGTCTGGTCTGGAATGCACCAGATTGCATACAAACACACTGGGACGCACCTGTAAAACCATTTTAAGCACACACAAAAAATGCAAAAAAAAAATTCCAAACGCAGCAAAATCGTGGAAAAAAACGCAGCAAAAACACAATGCACCGCGTTCCAGATCTGGTCTGGAAAATGGTGTGAACCTGCCCTAAAACCAAAATATTTTGTAGTTCTGGATA